TAGTAAACGATATTTTTTTTTTAAACTAAGTTTAAACAAACAAAAAGTCTAAATATGATTATGCCATTAATGTTCAGTACCATTTACATTGGATTATAATGAAAATAAAATAAAACTATAAGTTTAAATAGTCAATCGACACATTTTGGTCTCAAAACTATAATAAATCTTTTTTTAAACTGAAGGTAGCCAGGCTAACTATGACATCGTGACGTCAAACACCTCAGTCCCCTCCCCCCCGTTTAAAAGTTAATTTAATCGCGATAAAATCCGTAAAAATTAGTTTCATTTAATGTGTAGTCTTCGCGTAAATATAAAAAATCATTAGTAAACGATAGTTTTTTTTTAAACTAAGTTTGAACAAACAAAAAGTCTAAATATGATTATGCCATTAATGTTCAGTAACATTTACATTGGATTAGAATGAAAATAAAATAAAACTATAAGTTTAAATAGTCAATCGACACATTTTGGTCTCAAAACTATAATAAATCTTTTTTTAAACTGAAGGTAGCCAGGCTAACTATGACATCGTGACGTCAAACACCTCAGTCCCCTCCCCCCCGTTTAAAAGTTAATTTAATCGCGATAAAATCCGTAAAAATTAGTTTCATTTAATGTGTAGTCTGCGCGTAAATATAAAAAATCATTAGTAAACGATAGTTTTTTTTTAAACTAAGTTTGAACAAACAAAAAGTCTAAATATGATTATGCCATTAATGTTCAGTATCATTTACATTGAAGTAGAATGAAAATAAAATAAAAATATAATTTGATTATCAAACGACAACCTTTTGGTCTCAGAACTAAAATACAAGACAAATCTTTTTTTAGACTTGTGTAAACAAAAAAAAGTGAAAAAAAAAATATTGCCATGAATTTTCAGTTAAAGAGTTTAAAAACAATCAATTTACCAAAAGTCTTCTTCGTCTCGTTCCCAAAATACGGTTTCGTTTTTTCCTGACAATATTTCTCGCTTTAAAAAATAATCCTTCGGCTGGCGCGGAAATGGCCATCACAGAGAGGTGTTTAGGAGCCAATTCGGTTAGTTTAGGGAAAGTTCCTTCAGAGCTTCTCGATATATTGAGGGCATCTGCATTGAGATTTGATAGTGGTGCCACAATATATAGATCCAATTCAGTATTTTTGCCTATTGACGTGTTGGCCGCTATTATTTTTTCATTATAACATACTTCCGTCAGTGACTTTTAGACGTTTTACAAGACATTTTTATTGTTTATATATAATTGTTTATACTAAGCAAAGAAAGAAAGAAAACCACAGAATACTTTTACTCCTAGCGGAAAAAGAAAACTGTTGAAAACATACGACAGGCGAAACTGTTTTATATACATAGAGATACATAAAGGTGGTGCCGTCTTTTGATAGACTTATTCATGTTATTAAACTTCACGTTTTTACATCCATCGCACATATGACTCTGATTACAAAAATCGATTAAAACGCGTAATTTACATAATCGATTTATTAAAAAATGATTTTTATTATAAAAACATCTACTTTGAAAAATCGATTATAAGAAAAAATAATCGATTGATATGAAAATCGATTATTTTTTCACATCCCTACAATTCTCAGCCGTGACTACGGATGTGACAATGAGTGAAAAAAATCGATTAACAAAAAATCGATTATTTGCTTCGTAATATTAATCGATTTAGAAAAAAACGATTTTTATTAGAAGAAATAATCGATTTTTGCGGAAAAAATTCTTTTATTCGAAAAAATGCCTGCTTTCCTATATATTAATAAAACTACGATATTAGTATTGCAATGCAAACAATTTATCAGAATGTAAATCAAATAAAATGATAAGTATAAAAAATAATCAGAACGACAATCTTCTGGTTTCAAAACTATACTACAAATCAATTTTTTTAATCTATAACTTTTAACAATATAAAACTAAAAATAATTACTGCTACTATATTTACTACATTTAACAATTTATTAGTACTAAAATAAAAAGAAACGATAAGTTTAGTAAACGATATTTTTTTTGAAGTAAGTTTGAACAAACTAAAAATCTAAATATCATTATTGCCACAAATGTTCAGTACCATTGACATTGGGTTAGAATGAGAATAAAATAAAACTATAAGTTTAAATAATCAAAGCTTTTGGTCGGAAAACTAATATACAAAATAAATCTTCTTTTAAACTTAAGTTTAAACAAAAAAATCTATAAATAATTATTGCCACTAATGTTTAGTATCATTTACATTGGACTATAATAAAAATAAAATAAAAATATAATTATAAATAATCAAACGACAACATTTTGATCTCAAAACTAAAATACAAGACATATACTTTTTTAAACTAGTATAAACTAAAAAAAAATATTGCCATGAATTTTCAGTTAAAGAGTTTAAAAACAATAATTTTAACAACATTCTTCTTCGTCTCTTTTGTAAAATACATTTACGTTTTTTCCTGACAATATTTCCCGCTTTCAAAAATAATCTTTCGGCTGGCACGGAACTGGCCATCATAAAGACGTGTTTAAGAGCCAATTCGGTTAGTTTACGGAAAGTTTCTTCAGAGCTCCATGTATTGAGGGCATCTGCCTTGAGATTTGATATCATTATCATTACAGCCCTTCACAAGTCCACTGCTGAACATAGGCCTCCCCCAAGGAGTGCCACAAAGCACGGTCCTGAGCCACCTGCATCCATAGACTTCCTGCATTTATTACCAGGTCGTTACTCCATCTAGTAGGGGGACGCCCTACACTTCGTCCGCCGATACGAGGCCGCCACTCGAGAACCTTTCTTCCCCATCGGTTGTCGGTTCTTCGAGCTATATGGCCGGCCCATTGCCACTTCAGCTTACTAATCTGTTGGGCTATGTCGGTCACTCTGGTTCTACTGCGGATATCCTCATTTCTAAGTTTATCACGCAGAGAAACTCCGAGCATAGCCCTCTCCATAGCTCGCTGAGTGACCTTGAGCTTCCTCATCGGGCCAGCAGTGAAGGACCACGTTTCAGTTCCATAAGTCATCACTGGCAACACGCACTGGTTGTACAGTCTCATTTTTAAGCTTTGAGGTATACTTGACGAGAAGATATGCCGTAAGAACGCTGCCCAGCCGAGTTGAATCCGTCGATTGACCTCTCGGCCGAAGTTGGACTTACGTAGTCGTACTATTTGTCCTAGGTAAACATACTCGTCAACAACTTCGAGCTTAGTGCTCCCAACAACTACCGGTATAGGTGTGACATGGATATTAAACATGAACTTTGTTTTGACCATGTTCATCTAAGACCTATCCGTTGGGAGACACTATTGAGGTTATTGAGCATAGTGCTTAGGTCCTGCAGCGATTCTGCCATAAGGACTATATCGTCGGCAAATCGGTGAGTGATGTACTCGCCATTGATGTTAATACCGTATCCTTTCTAGTCCAGAAGCTTGAAAAACGTCTTCCAATGCAGCGGTGAAGAGTTTCGGGGATATAACGTCACCCTGTCTTACACCTCTCTGCAATTGGATAGGTTTCGTACTCTGGTTCTTTACTCGGATAGCCATCGTAGCCCTACTGTACAAGCACTTCAGCATTTCGATATACCGACAGTCAACTTTGTACCGCTGAAGGGACTGCAGCACCGCCCAAATTTCGACGGAATCAAAGGCTTTCTCATAGTCCACATATGCCAGACACAGTGGCAAATTGTACTCCTCGGACTTCTGTACAATTTGCCGAAGGGTATGTATGTGGTCTATGATGCTAAAGGCCTTTCGGAAACCGGCTTGTTCGGGAGGCTGGAAGTCGTGAAGTCTGCGCGCGAGACGATTCATAATGACTCTCGAAAACAGCATGTAGACGCGGCCCAAAAGGGAAATCGGTCTGTAGTTCTTCAAGAGAGCGTTGTCACCTTTCTTGAAGAGTAAGACCACCGCACTTCTGCTCCACGCCTCCGGTGTAATGCCACCACGGAGGACGGAGTTAAAGAGCTTCTGAAGGACTTCAAGTACCGGTTTTCCACCCGCTTTCAGAAGCTCCGCTGTAATTCCATCCTCGCCTGAGACCTTGCCGTTTTTAAGGTGCTGGAGAGCCATTCTAATCTCGCTCAGACTGACGTTCGGGATATCATCGGAAATTTGATAGTTATGTCGCAATATATAGGTCCAATTCAGTATTTTTGCCTATTGACGTGTTGGCCGCTATTATTTTTTCATTATAAAACACTTCCGTCAGCCACTTTTAGGCGTTTTACAAGACATTTCTATTGTTTATCAATTATTTACACTCTCTATAGAAAGAAAGAAAACCACAGAATACTTTTACTCTTAGCGGAGAAAGAAAACTGTTGAAAACATACGAAAGGTGAAACTGTTTTACATACATAGAGATACATACAGGTGGCGCCGTTTTTTGATGACTTGTTCATGTTAGTGAACTTACTTCGCGTTTTTTCATCTGTCGCACAGATGACGCTGTTCTTTTGATCGACTTATTCATGATATTGAACTTCACGTTTTTACATCCATCGCACAGATGACGCTGATTACAAAAATCGATTAAAACATGTAATTTACATAATCGATTTATTAAAAATCGATTTTTATTATCAAAAATCGACTTTTAAAAATCGATTATAATAAAAAAATAATCGATTAATATGAAAATCGATTATTTTTCACATCCCTAGCCGTGACCCGTGACAGGTTGACAGCCGATTATATTAGCTTATCTATGCTGACAGTATTACATTACAGGTTTACAGGAAGCTCAGCATCAGCAGCAGTGTTCTATGAAAGCTGAGCCCATAGGCTGAGACTCAGCTTTATTAAATTATCATGCCCAAGATCCTCCTGCACTTAGATTATGAAGAGGACGGCGTATTAAATGTTTAAGTTCTCAATAGTTTGTGAGTTCTTTACCGTGTGCTATAGTAATTATAGTATAGGAGGCCGAAACATATTAATATAATAGATGAGGAGGTTTTAGTGTATAAAATAAAGTTCCTTATAAATGGCAGGCCCAATGGAAAGAATCCAAGTCCTTGATGATATCGAAAAGGATATTATTACTTGCTTGCAATGTGCTGGTATGTATTCGATTTTCACCAATTACGAAGTAATTTCACTTAAATAGTATTTAGATCGTTCCAATATTTTAGTTTTTTCTTCCATTGTTTCACTGTTTGGTTTGCTTTACATCTTTAATGTATCATTTTACTGTAAGATATTATGTATCAACTATTGTTTATTTTCTTCGGATATACTAAATTATCCATACGATTTGAGGTTTTATAGTGGAGGGCATTTCTTTAGTAATCTGCGGCATGAATATATGGTCGCCGAGTGGGCGAGGGAGGGAGGGGGGGGAGTTGTAGAGTCACCCCCCACTTCCATTTTCTGCTGGACAATTTTTTTTTTTTATAAATTTTTACGAATCTAATTTGGAGGTTATGTTTTCGTAATGTTTAGACAATATAAACCTGATTTGTGGGGAGAGAGAGTTGGGGGAGGGTAGCCTAACTCTAATCAACATGGCGCAGGCGAGGGAAGCTCGGTCGACGGAGCCACGCAAAGCGGGGCTCCTATTTCTGGATGGTTTATAAAAAAATAACCACGAAGGGGATGGATTCTAGCCTAACCTGTCCGAGTCGGGGTGCCTCAAGTCCCGAGCTCGCTTCACTCGCTCTAGCACTAAATAAAACACCCAAAATGTTAACTTTTATAATTACTTTAATAAATAAACATATTTTATTACTTCCACCATTTCCAAAAACATCGTAAAATAGCAAGCAATCGGTCTCCAGAGGGGTCTCGAAAAACAGGGGGCAGATAATAACAATAAGGAGCACATTCACGTAAACTCGGAAGCTACGGAATGACGCTTATGACGCGAGTCGCAAAGTCGAAAATAAACGTAAAACGGAGTGATTATATTCTCTTTGGTTGAGTTTATCTGTGACTGTCAATGTGAATACTTCAGTTTCAGGTATTAATTACTGATTTATGAATATTTTTAGAAAATAATTTTAAATATTTCGATGCAGCTCCGGCAATTAAAATTGCGTGGGGGCACTTGAGGTAAGCCCCCTTGACCTCCCCACAGTGACAGACTCTTTAATAATTATATTGTTATTTCATTTTTGTATCATTTTAAAATGGCTCACAAGATATTCAAAACTATAATTATTGATATCTCGAAAACTAAACATTTCCGGCATAAAAAGCAGCTAGATGGTAATCAATAGCATCATTGCCTATTACCTAAAGCTAAAATGATCACTTAAATCCTGCCGCAGATTACTAAAGCCGACCCTAGTGGAGCCGCATATTATTATTTTTTGAGTTAATGCAACAATTTCTACCTTAGTAAAATGCTGTTAAAGTATATTTTGTAGTATTCTGATTAAGAGTAACTATAATGATTCCTTACAAATTTCATCATTAAATAAAATAGAAGTTTAATAAACTTTCAAGTTGAGAGTCATTTAAGTATTTTTCATTCTATCCATCAATTACAGCATATAAAACTTCACTGCTGAACATATATCCTCCCCTATAGAGAATCTCGTAAGAGAATTTTGGCATAATTGACACGCTAGGCTGGTGGGTTGGCAAAGAGTGTTTTAGTAGTTTTGATAAGCATAAAATAAACTATGCTTGACTTCTTGTTTGCAGAATAAATAAATATTGAATTTTCCTATTTCAGCCCAAGCTCTTTTGGAATTAGGTAAAGAAAAATCAAGCCAGAAGCAAGCTGAAACCAATACATCACAATTTTTGCGAACCCTTAGTCAAGTTGAATCCAAACTAAGTGATCAAATAAATTACTTGACTCAAGTATCCACTGGCCAACCTCATGAGGGATCTGGATATGCATCACAGAAAGTGTTGCAGATGGCTTGGCATCGATTAGAACATGTCCGTTCTTGGGTGAATGAGTTGGATAGACTAAAAGCTTCCCATTTGGCTTCTGCTAATCGCACTTCTGCAGGAATTCCAAATGGCAGTATGACATCTTCTGGAACAAGTACCTAAATTTATTGAATAAACTAGCTGTTCCCTGCGACTTCACCCGCATGTTATTTGCGGTTTTAATTTTTTTGCTTGGAACCCTAATTTTTTTTCTAAAATAAAATAGCCAAGTTACTCCTTGTGATATCAGCTATCTGCAAGTGAAAATCCCGTCAAAGTCGGTCCAGCCGTTTCGGAGATTAGCCGGAACAAACAGACAAATAAAAACTTTAAAAATTGTATTTTTGTTATTAGTACCGTGTATACTTTCATATGCATTTAGTAAAAAACTGTAATTTTGACATTACAAACAGACACTTCAATTTTATTTATTTGTATAGATGTATAGATTATATGTGTTGATTTTTCCTTTTCATTTTGTATAAGTATGCTGTTGAAAATTCACACATTATGCAGGTCCACCAACATTCACTTTGGCTTACAAAATGCAGCCAAACAAATGTGTTGTTACTGCTTAGCATGTTAATAGTACAAGCTGTTGTAGTGGGATCATTGGGCATGGGTAGGGTCACAAGGGGTGAGCGTTTCTATGTTAGCCAGACATGTGGGGTTGTCTGCCGATCAAAATTAATCTTTACTAGTTTCTGCTAAAGTATTAATCCTGGTTAGATATAAACCTACGACATATATTTACGTATATGTAGTAGGTTTATAGTAAAATCAGGTTATTGGCTTTTGATCAAGAACTGGAAGAAAACAAAATTATTACATAATCTTATCACTAACCTGAAAAAATCCTGTTTTTTGATCAAAAACCTGAACTTGTTTAGATTTATGATAAAATTGAAGCTTAGGTTATCAAATTCTTTTATTTATTTAAAATAAATAGGTTTTTTGATCAACAAACTGGATTTTCAAGCCTAGGTTTTTAATCAAAAAGGTATGCTCATAAACCTGCGACATATATAATATGTATAAAGGTTGTGTCTGTGATTCCAAAAATTTCTGTAAAAAAAGCAAGTAGGGGAATAAGTATAGGATGTCTGTCTGTGTATTCATGATTCACGCAACAACTAGGGGATGGATTTCCATGAAATTTGATATGTAGTAATTATAATTTATTTTATTCAATTTAGGTTACACACAATTTTTAGATTGGTCATAGGTAGTTAACAACCATGCTTAACATATTAAAAGCTACTTTTTATCGACTATGGAAGTTTAGAGAAGTTGGTTGTGTTTTCATTGCTTAGGCATTTATTTTCATAAAAAAAATTGTTAATGAGATTGAAGTTTCTATTATAGAATAAGGGTGACGAATGAGGAGTCTACCTGATAGTAAGTGGTTGCTGTGGCCTATAAACATCTACATCTATCCTATCCTCGAGTACGAATTAAAATGCAGGTGCCTTGTCACCCGTGAGAATTAACACTACGAGTGCACGCGCCCTGAAATGCTCCTTGAGCGCACGCGCGGGCCACAGGTGTAGACCAGTTACGGGTCAATTATTTCTCTGAATAAGACAAAACAATGACTAAAACACCGCATGTAGTTACTAAACATCTTTATTTTTATCAAAATGGCTCATAACAAATTTTTGATTCCTAATTACAATTTGAAATTTAAACATAAACTTCTTAAAAATCAACAAATATTAATAAGGGTTGAGATCACATAGTCTTATTTTCATTTAGGGACGTAATATTTATCATAAAAGGCGTTTATTTTAATCTAATTGAATCTATAATCAAAGTAACGTGTAATAAATCAGTCTATTGGCTTACATTTAGCACACACAACTGCCTGATGTTTGCTATAAATACGCCTCATACATTTGCTGCATTGCTTGCGCGTGCTACGGTCGCGAGCCCTGCTGTAAAAAGCACATCGACCAACTCCTGCCCGAATAGGCATATATTGTTGTAGGTGTTGTTCTGCCAATCCTATAAGTAATCTGCCTTTCAGTTTAATACCTCTGGGTATATTTTGTTGGGATATACGACGCTCACTACAAGGTCTTGCAAGATCGAATCCGACTTCTAGGAGGTATTGACGACGGATCGCTTTCATTTGAGGGTTATTCATCAGATATATCACCAGACCATTTATGCCCGCCATGTTTACAAAATTGTAAAACAGCGTGAGAGGCCATCGGCGACTGTTACGAGAAACGTCGTATTGTCTACACATTTTATCAAAAATTGTCGACGCCGTATTTTGTATGATTATAAAATGTGATAATTTCAGGTTTTCTAGTATTGCTAGTCGCAGCATCAATTTTGTCATCATTGTGGAGGGTTAACAATAACATTACTACCTTATTTCGTTTTGGCACATAGCTGAGAAGTGTGCAATCAGGCTGAAATCCGAAGATCGATCCGTTTATTTCTCTGTTTTGTGTAGTTTTGAACAGTTCAGGTCTATCTCTGGTTTTTTTTTTTAGTGTTCTTACGGTTGTAATCTTGTGAGCCAATAGTTCTTTGCATGTAGGCACACTAGTAAACCAGTTGTCCATAGTTATATTACATCCTAGGCAGAATAATGGACTCAAAATTCGGTTTACAGTGTCAGACACTATTCGATTCTTAAAAGGGGGTCCTTATTGTTGCGTACCCACGTATATTTCAAAATTATAAGCATATGGGTATTTGAGATCCACCACCATAACGATTTTTACGCCAAATTTGGCTGGCTTATTTGGCATACATACATACATAACATACATAAACACTCACGCCTGTCACCCAGAGGGGTAGGCAGAGACTACGGACTTCCATTTGGCGCGATCCTGACACACCTCTCTCGCCTCTTTCACATCCATATATCTACGCATACACGCTCGTCGGTTAAGGGTACTCCTAATCTGGCCCATTTTCAATGTATCGCCGATCTGGTCGATAAACCTTCGTCTAGGGCGTCCCTTCCCGACCCTGCCGTTCACTTCTGCAACATAAATTTGCTTTGTCACTCTTTCCTCGTTCATTCTTTCTACGTGACCAAACCACCGAAGCATTCCTTTCTTAATCCTTGTCACAACGTCATCTTGCAAACCACACTTTTCTCTTATTACACTATTTCTCACCCTGTCATTCAGATTCAGCCCTAGCATACTCCTTAAGGAACGCATTTCTACAGCATTTATTCTACTCTCATGCTTCTTCTGCCAGACCCAACTTTCACTACCATACATTAAAGTCGGTACTAACACAGCATTATGAATTGCCATACGTGCCTTAGTTGACACATTCTGACTCCTCACAATAGCGTGTAGAGCCCCATTCACTCTATTTCCTGCGTTCACTCGTCGTTCTATATCCTTATCATATCTACCATCCCTGCTAAATAAACATCCCAAATATACAAACTCATCCACTTGCTCAATCAACTCCCCTTCTATTCTTATTTTACATAAAGTTTTACTTTCTTCTCTTTCAAAAACCATCACTTTCGTCTTACTTGCGTTCACTTTCATACCCCTTTCTTTCAATGAACAATTCATTAAAGTAACCATCATTTGCAACTCGGCCGCCGACGATGCAAATATGACTTGATCATCGGCGTACAAAAGGCATTTGACGGTTGACTCACCCATTCTCAACCCACATTCTTCAACTTTCAAAGTTTGCAAACAACTGTCCATAAATAGGTTAAACAGCCACGGGGAAGCCACACATCCCTGTCTGACACCTTTATGAATGCCAAACCAGTCCGAGTAGACCCCGTTGATCCTGACACAAGCACTAGAGTCCCTATAAAGAGACCTTAATGCCTGTATCAAGCCAGCGCTCAACCTAAATGAGTTCAGTGTTTGCCATAACACGTTCCTGTCCACTCTGTCATAAGCCTTTTCCAAGTCTAAGAACGCACAAAAAACTTTCTGGTTTTTAGCCAAAAACTTCTCCGCTATCATGCGCATGGAAAAGACTTGATCCGTACACCCCATCCCCTTTCTAAATCCAGCTTGCACATCCCAAATTTTTCCTTCAGTTTCTTCCATAACTCTTTCAATTAACACCTTAGCATACAATTTACCCACAATGCTAAGCAAGCTGATACCACGGTAGTTTTTACAGTCCTGCTGCGACCCCTTTCCCTTATATATTGGGACTATAACGGCTTTGCACCAGTCTTCCGGTACCCGTTTCAGTTCCCAACATAAATTAAACAAGGTGTGCAGCAGGCCTGCAACCACACCCTCACCAGCCCTTAGCATTTCGAGTGATACTCTATCATATCCGGCTGCCTTACCTGCTTTCATGCTTTTCATTGCTTTCATTATTTCATCTACACTTATCTCCCTACCTCTCTCCACTTCTTCCGGAATTTCTATTTCTCTTATTTCAGACGACTCTTCACTCTTAAACACGCTTTCAAAGTATTCCTTCCATCTCTTTAAATTCGAAACTTCATCATTCAGCATGCAGCCATTCTCGTCTCGTATAGCATTCATTCTAGGCTGTTTTGAATTTCCCCTGGCAGTTCTTACGAGCTTCCAGAACATTTTATTTTATTTGGCATGTACATCAAAAACGCGCAACGTCCCTTGAATGCTACTAATTGTTGAGTTGAGTCACCCGCCATCTAAAAAGTGAACAAAACAGAATAAAGCTACATGAAAAATCCACAAATACAAAGAACAAACACTTAAAAATTAATTAACAGTACGTTTTGTAGTAATACTACAAAAAATGATCATAAAAAAAAACATATTTACCTCAATTTCACCACTTGCACACTAAACACTTAATGTCCTCCAATGCTCGCGCGGGCTACAAGCGTAGCCCACCAATTTCAAGGACGTTTTTTGCGGACGTACGTGAGCCGCAGGAGTTGGCACGCTGCTGGCGGGAGCAGGGGGTAATGCTTGAGGAATACACTAAAGCACTAGACGATTGCGATGTAGCGCGGCAACTTAAAATTATATACGACAATTTTACAGGCTGGGTTACATATGTAGCCCGCGCGTGCACTCTAGTGTTAAGATGGAATGCCTCGTTTCTAGTAAAAAGGGTCTTTGGTTCTCTACACTCACCATACGAAACATAGCAGCATTAAACTGCTA